TAACATTTCAACTTAACCATCGTAGAGCTTCCACTCTGGTCGATTAACCGATCACTTCAGTGAAAGTTAGTTGGCAGCTATTATGTAAATGGATTATTTAAGTAAATAAATACAAGATTGCTTTCCTTTTCCTGGTCTTATATTACACTATATTGTAAATCCTTTGTGTTCAGTTTTGACTTGTTGAATGAAACAAACCATGTGTAATGGGAATTTAAAAAGTCTTCTTTAAATGTGAAAATATTATATTATATATAACTATATAGTAAAGCTGCATTTAATAGTTTCTTTGTATTTTCTTTTTTACAAGATATAAAAATCCATATATGTCTGTTTTATGTTTTTATTACTGACCATTCTCACAAGCTATAAACCTTTATTGATTAAAGCTGCCTATAAGTCTGTAATAACATAGAACCCAAAATGACATCTTTATTTGTCTTGTTTTGTCCTGCCAGTAATCCTTAAACCACAAAATTTAAATTTGCTGCAATGCAAAGCTCAGAAAATGAAAAAAAAAAAGGCCCAAAGCAATGGCATTTTTGCTGTTTCTGTTAAATCTGTGATTATTGCAGCTCTGAGTTTTTATATTACAGTTACTAGTAATGTGTTTCTCTTTTCCGTGCTCTGACTAATACCATTGCATCACAGCTATTCAGAAACATAGGAGTTGGACAGGTTTGTTTCAGTCCCAGCTCTTAATAATAATCAGATTACTGTGTCTCAACAGTGAATATTCCCTCCTCAGCCAGCAGCTGCGGTGTTACACAAGCCACTCTCAGCAGACTGGGAGCTGAAGATAGAGTGCTGTGACATTTTTAACATGCTTTTTTTATCTTCCAGATACAGATAGCGAAAATTTGACAACAGCCTTTACCACCACATATAAAAGCAATAAAGTGTGTAAGTACATTTGTCTTTCACTACGATTGTTTTTACTTTGCTTAGACACAACCAACAAATGTTCTGATATTGTGACCTTTAGTTATAGTTTTTCTTATTTTAATAAATAATGTTTATATTTTTTTTCTTCCCCCATTTTTTTTCAGCCCCAGATGTGGCACTTGTTGAATCACTTCCCACACAACCAGCATCCACTACCGTTCAGGGTACGCTCGAAAGCTTTTTGTTTTATGTTTTCCTTTACTGGTTGTCTCTTTTTTAACTCACAGCATTACAAATGGCAACATTTACTCAAAGTAGAAGTATATCCTGGTGATGCATGTCTACTTAGCTCTTGTTGTGTGACTTTTTTCTTCAACTAAATACTTCAAAATCAAGAATCGAACTGTTCAGTAGTACAAATCATTTTGAAAGTGCCCTAGGTTCCTTGTCTGCTAATTTGATGTCTTCAGCGTGAAATTATTGCAGTTTGAATCCCTCCCAACCTTTAAACAACACATAGCTGTCCAATTCTGCTTCTTTCAAATAAAAATCCAATCTCTCAAAACCGAAGGGGAAAAAAAAATCTCCTGAGCTCTCTGTATACTTTAGAATTGGTTTTAGGATTTTACTGATCCTTTTTAACATTGTAGTCCCAAAGTGCATAGAATATTACTCTGTATTAGCCAGGTCCTCCAATATGGCTTTACTGGCTGTTCCAAAATTGATGAAGACAATGCAGCTCAATGAACTGATCATCAGCAAGTCTAGACACATATATAAATACATATGTTTTGGTAGCTTGCTGTCTGGAGCATTCAGGTGTGTGTGTAAGTGTGTGGGGACAGCTGCCAATCTTCTCAGGAGTTGACATCCCACCAAATTCACTGTCATACTGTGCAATGATTAGAGAACCTACAGAAAACAAACCAGATTCTACAGGCCCCAGTTAGCACCTTAAAGTTAATGAAAGTACTATTAGAAAAAGACTGAACAAGTATGACTTCTTTGAAAGTTTTGCCAGGAGAAAGCCTTTTTTTCTCTAAACAAACATGGCAGCACAGCTTAGGTTTGCAAAGTTCTCAACAAACCCCATATCATTTTGAAATGGTGTCCTTCTAGATAGACAAGACCACGCTGAGTATGTTTGACCATAATGCAGAGCACCATGTTTGGTGAAAACTAAACACAGTATATCAGCACAAACACCTCATACCAGCTGTAAAGCACGGTGGTGGAGGGTGTGATGATTTGGTTTTGTTACACAGCCACAGGATCTGGGCCCATCTGTCCGACAGCTAAAGTTTGGCCAACAATGGGCCATGCGACAGGACAATAATCCTAAGCACAGGAGGAAATCTACAAAAGAAATAGCTGAAAGAGAAAAGATTCAAGTTGTTGCAGTGGCCCAGTCAAAGTCCAGACCTCGACCCAAATGAAACGCTATGGTGGGACCCTAAGAGACCCCCAACACTGAACTGAAGCAACACTGTGCCAAAAGTGAGATAATGACAGTGAAACAAAAAATAATTGCTTATTGTTGCCAAAGTTTGTTCCACAAACTGATGAATCACGCATGGCATATAATTAGTTCTTCCACATACTGCTTCTGCATTTTGGCTCAGTTTATGCTAAATGCTGACACGGTGTAACATGTCACGTGTTGTTCTTCACAGGTTGTTTTTAAAGATCTTGTAGGGACTACATAGTGTTTCATGTACTGATTCGTAAATCCTTAAAAATGAAAGCAGATGTAACTTATTACATACTTGCTTATTTTTTTTTTATTTTTGACGGTGCTTTAGGGGTCTCTTGACTTCTTAGATCACTTCTGAAAATACATTTTTGTAGACTTTGTGTGGCAGCTTTTTATAACACTTCTTTAAGCATTTGTTTATCCTTTTTTTCAAGTTTTGTGTATTTTTGTTGTACTTTTATTCCTTTAGTAGCATTAATTTGTTGAATTGTATTTATTTTGGTATTTACTATTGTACATTTGATTTTCAGAGTACTTGGTAAACTATTTTTAAATATTCTATTTTCTTTCCCTCAGTGTTAACAACAGTTGCTCCCACAAGTTCAGACTCTGCAGTTATTGCAGGTAACTGTTTGCACTTTATCTTGAGATTTATTTCTTCTTCTTCTTTTTTTTTTTGCTGCAGTTCAAAGTGTCTTCTAAACCTGCCTTTCCCCCCCCCCAGTTGTTGTTATTCTCATTCTGCTGACACTAGCTGCTTTGAGCTTTGTGCTCTGCCGGTATCTGTACCACAACAGAGGGGACTACAGGACGACAGGGGAGCTGGCTCCAGGAGAGGACCCTGATGAAGAGGACCATAACAAGCCTGCGCCTGAAAAGAAGGAATACTTTATATAAACCTGGTGGAAGACTTACAGCGAGTTAGTTGAGCTTAAGAAAATGATCTGTGGAAGTGTGATAAGAAGGAAAACTATTTCCTTGCATGTGTGTTTTGAGAGAAACCCGTTACTGGCAGCACACTGTGCAGAGAAAAAAAAAGAGCCTTGTTGAAGATATTTTTCTTTAAAAATGCAAGTGAAACCAAAGAAAAGAGTACCACTGTGAGGGTGAATGTTGATTGGCTGAAGGAGGTGAAAGCTGACGTTGTGCACAGGTTAGCAGAGCCAAGCACAAAATAGTTACATGATCAGTAAATGCAAAAAAGTCAAATCAAAGGAGTGCCTTGAATGTAATATTTATCATCCTCATTTAAATTTCTCTTTATTTGCCATTTCAGTTAGTTACCGTACTTTTCCCAAACTAACCATGTTTAAGATGATTTCTGGTGCTATTATGGGCTGTTACTTTCATATTCATTTGCTTTTAAGAAATACTTTTTTTATGCAATTCTTTTATTATAAGCTGGTCAAAGAAAGTGGTTTTCTTTTAATAGAACAGGACAGCTACACAATTTTTCTTGTTCTTGGTTGTGTTTTGTATACCTGAAATGGTTGCTGGTTACTTCCTTATTTATTATAAATGTGGAAGTCAATTAAACTTGTTTTTGGACAAGTGTTATTACCGTGTGACAGTGTGTGAATGTTTTAATGCATTGCTGCCCCCAGTCTGACATTGCAGACAATGCACTAGCACACTGCACATTAGACTGAATAGGTACACTTGGCTACATCCAATGTAATGTAAAACCTGCTCAAACCAATATGTTGTGATGCTGTTTAGTCTTGAAAGAAATTCCTTAATTTACAAGCCATCTATGTCCACTGTGAGCGACCATCTTTGAACAGAGAGGGTGGTTTACGACACTGTCTGCCACCTGTAATCCAGTTTTGACATCCCTTCCCAGACGCCTTAACGCCCACTCACATCCTGGGCCTTTTGACCTCAGGAAATCACATGATAGGGTGGGGCTAGGTTTCACAGCGGGGTCACCCGAAACCTTACCTTGGCTGATTGTGATCTAAACCCGTTTTCACACCTTGGCTCGTTTGATTAGGAAGAGGATCAACAGGGGGTCCATGTCCCTGTTGGGGGAACACTCCCATAGGGCTTAAATCTGGGACTCGCCACCATTTGACCCTAGAATTGAAGAAGCTTCTTGGATGAGAGGTGAAACGTTTTCAAGCAACTTAAAGAAGTCCAGACACTTTTCTTCCTAAGCTTCTTAGACGACGATGATCTGGATGACTGAGAACCTTCACAGACGTATTTCTTAATTTACAATAACCAGAATTGCAATATTTTCCATTCTTATAGGACAGAAATAATTACTTAGCCTGATGTTGTAATGCATCATAAATGTGTAAGAACAATGAACTGAAAGCAGTGGATTTGCTTCATTTTGGTTTGGGAGTTTAAGTATTCTAGGATCTTGTTAGTGTGTAATGTAAAATGGAGCATGAGATGGACAGGTGGATCAGTGCAGCATCAGCAGTAATGCAGGTAGTACGCCATACCATTATGATGAGGACAGCTGAGCCTATGGCCATTAGCTCTGGGTATCAAAAGAAGGAATGAGGTTGTGGACACATGGCTGAATCAAATATCCTATGCAGGGTGCCTGGTCCTGGACATAAGATCAGAAGCTCAGACATCCAAACTTATACTAGAGGAGCGAGTTGATCGCAACACCTAATTGGATGCTTCCTGGGCACCTTGCTTTGGAGGATTTCCTGGTACGTCCAGCTGGCAGGAGACCCATAATACACTAGAGAGAAAATACATCTCACCTGATCTGGGAACGTGTTGGGATCTCTCAAGATGAAGTGAAAAATGTTGCGGGGAGAAGAACATCTGGAATACTCTGCTTAGCCTGCTTCGATTCAGAAAATGGAGCGACTGATGCACAAAAGGAAGACTTCGCTATGTTTCAAATTTCCAAAATAACCTTTATTCTAAACTTACATTTTAAATTTTAAGTTTAGTATAAAAAAGTTAAGTGCACCTAAGTTCTTTTTTCAAAGTATTCCATCTTTGACATGTCTCAGCAAACTGTAGTGACACTCATCTCCTTTAGTAATCTTAAAAGATAGAATGTGTACCAAAGTCCATCACATCACTTTAGTACATACATCTATTTTAGAAAATATTGTAAAGAGAATCCCTGAACTATAAATGTCCATAATCCTTCAACAAAGAGTGCTCCTTTTGCTGGCTGTGGTTGGCATAGCATCTACTGGTCAGCTGTAAATTACAGTACTTCATATTGCTGGGACAAAGCCACCGTTATGCTGCTTTACAAACAATCAGAGCATAGATGGGAAAAAAAGATAACGTTTGTACAGTTTCTAAGTTTTGATAGCTGTGGCCTCCTTTTCCAATGAAGCTGTATGAAATGACAGCATGAGCGGGTAAATAAATGGACATGGAGATGACTGTCACATCTGGTGCTGCAGCTTTATGTATGAGCTGCGGAGGAGAGGTTTATTAGAAGAGTGATGCAGGTTTCCAGACAGATGATTCTTCTGACTTAAATAACACTTGAAAACACTAAATGTTGGTTGACAAGAAAACAGGTTTTGTTTTCTGGCGGCCACAGCTGTTAAAACTTGATATGCTATGTCGGATACCCAGTGACACATTGACGCTCGACACAAATGAACAAGTCTACAAATATTAGCTGATGGTATCCATACAGGCAACTTGCCTATGTTTAGCAGTCTTCTGTCAGTTTGCCAGATTATGTAATATGTTACGACCCTAAGGAAACAAGTTTAAACAGCATTAATTTTTTTTTTTTTTAAATCCTGGAAATTAAACATTATGCCGACAGTCATTTAGCCTCTTTGCAAAAGGTTTGCATACACGTGCAGCCAACTGAACAATGTGACATGTCAAAAGTTTTAAAATTGTTTAGACTGAATGAATTTTAAAATGTGAAAAGTGCTAAAAAAAACAAAAAAACAAAAAAAACCCACCCACACAAAAAATAAAATAATAAAAAAAAAAATATCCCCAAAATATCACAGCTTTCTTAAAAAAAGCATGAAAACTGATTTAAAATAAAATAAAATAAAAAAAGCCCCTTGTCTGCAACTCCTCTGTTTTGCTTAGCAGTGCATTTCAGATAAAAAGTACTTTAATCTAACTTGTACAGGTGCAAAAGTATGCAGCAACTTAAAGATGCAGTTTACCCACATTAACTAACAATTGCAGTCACATCAGATGACCATCGGTTCCAATGGCCAACAGTGTCACAAATTCTTGTCCAAGGAAAAGTTTGCTTTTAAATTGTGACATTTCAAATATGACGTCACAACCAAACATAAGTGCATTGTAGACCAGATCTTTGGTACAACCAGCTCATTGGTTATACTAACAAATTTATTAGCCTAACTACTTGCGTAAGTCACTTAAATGTGGAAAAGTAAAGAAACACTGAAATATAAGTCTTAGTAACTTTGCTGAAAATGTTACCTAGAAATGAATGCTATCACGAAAGGTGACATTTTTCTGTGAGGAATAAATACTTGATGATCTAAGATATACTGCGTGAAAAGGAAATAATGAAAAGTAGTTTAAATCTGTACAATAAAACATTTAGTGTATAAACTCTGGGTATCCGACTGTGAAATAGAAACAAGAGACAAAAAAGCTAAAATGTTACACCAACCACCCCTTCCCATCCATCTTTCTATTTGGATTTACTTTAATTTTTCTTTCCTTTAAGTTTACTGAAGTTAATTTGCTTAAATTTAGGGCTATCCCCAGTGCTCTTTGGCACTTGACTATGTTCATCTACAAGTTGCCCAACAAGGTACAGTAAACCACTTTCATATTGCAGTAAATCTTTTGATTTTTTTATTCTTTTTGCTTTAATTTCTTTAATTTACATGTGATTTAAATAGAACAATCTCTCAGAAAGTTCACTGTGCAACAAATTTTCCGTGGTATTTTGGATACTGTGCAAAAGACAAGACATTTCTAGCTAAAAGCATCCAGGATGCTGACTTTTTTTTTTCTTCTTTTTTTTTTTTTTTTAAATAGTTGAGATGTAATTTCTCATAATCATACTGGTACTTACATGGAACTACTAGACACCTATTAATTGAACTACACTAAAAGTTTCAAAAAAAGACAAGTGGATGTTTTTTTTTCTTTTTTACTGCAACTTTGTAACTGCGTTTCACTTTCACCATAAAGCAGCTAAACTATATTTATGCGGGTCTGATATTTCAATATTTCATTAAAGTATTTTTACAGGAGTACAAGAACATCTCAGTGTAATTTGCGACCATTCAATCAAAGAAGAGAAGATCTTGTTGACAAATAAAGATGCCTGAAAGAGGTCAGATCTGGAATGACCAAAGAGGTTAGACCCAATGAAGAACTATGGAATGGATTCTGTAACATTACAATTTTCACTTGTCCTCTTCAGGCAATGGAGTTTATCATTTCATCTCTAGGTCAGAAGTGGAGTACTGTACCTTTCACAAGGGCTCTAAAATATTACATTCCGTTAGGTGATATCAGTATTGTGGCATGGCCAAGCAGCCTGAAGAGGGAGGCATATGGGATGGGGAAGTACTGGGGCATCATCTGGGATGGGGACATGGTTTAGGCATGAAGAAGGAGCTGCTGTTACCAGATGGTATAACCTCCACTGGATCCACCCAGGAAGAAGTTATTCTTGCGCTGTGTCATTACAACATTGGCACCTTGCATGGCAGCCAGCTGAGCGGCATTAGGGGGGTGTCCAGGAGGTGGGGGCTAGCAAAGGAAAGAAACAAGCACAAACACAGTTAAAGAGTTCCTCATTTTAAAGTGCATCTCATCTAAGGTGGATATGACTTCTTAGGATGGACACTCACTGGGATGGAAACACTGCTGCCGGCCGTGAAGCGAGCACCAGCATCATATCCGCTCTCCACCATCACAGTTGAACCATGCGGGTAGACTGCTCCCATTGGATAATAAGCCATGGGGACATTCTGGCCCACTGGCCCAACTGGCATATGTGGCTGCATGGGCATATACACCTGAGCACCAGGATAGGGAGAGGACATCTGAGGCACCTGACCAGGCACCTGAGGTGGAAGCACATATCTGGGCTGGTATATCTGGAGACACAGAGAACAGAAAACAGATTTTTCTTTTGTTTATAAATGTAAGTGCGAGTTTGAACTCTGCTCATCATTTGACTTAAATACGGATTGGTTACCTCAGAATATGCAGGTGGTGTGTCTGTGTAAGGAGGTGCCTGAGGAGACATTTGCATAGCAGGAGGGTATACAGGTGCAGTGCTCTGCTGAGGGTACACAGCCTGCTGTGGATATGAACCTGCAAGAAAAGATTTTACATTAAAGGAAAGAATTAAGAAAGAACAAAACTCTGAGGGACCAAACATTCCTCTGTCGTGCCTAGTGGTATTAATACATTTTCTACTGTAATAAAAATGTCATTTTGTTAAAATGTGGACAATAGAGGAATGCAACACATTCAATTTTGCTTATGGGGTCAATGTCCATTGTCCAGTGAACTTGAAGATGGCTTCTGAGAGCCTATTAGTAAGATGTAAATTTCCCCAAATATTTTTTTTC